GGGGTGCCCACCCAGCCCGTCCTGCCTGGGCTGGAGAGGCTGCCTGAGGCAGGGTGCTGCGTCTCCAGACACGGCTGGGCACCCCCAGGCACCCCCAGGTCCCAGCCCCAAGCCAACACCAGGGCAGCTTCCAGGAAAGCATGGGTGCCTGTGCAAAACAGGGTTAGTCCTGGCCAGCTCCTGCCCGCTGAGGCCAGACCCGGCAGCGGCCCTGCCGCAGGGACACCAACACCCGGGGCCACGATGCCCCCAAGCGCACGGTGTCCAGACACGGCTGGGCACCCCCAGGCACCCCCAGGTCCCAGCCCCAAGCCAACACCAGGGCAGCTTCCAGGAAAGCATGGGTGCCTGTGCAAAACAGGGTTAGTCCTGGCCAGCTCCTGCCCGCTGAGGCCAGACCCGGCAGCGGCCCTGCCGCAGGGACACCAACACCCGGGGCCACGATGCCCCCAAGCGCACGGTGCTTCCTCAGGGAACATGGGCCAGATGCTCTGCCCACTGTCCTGGCACGGGGCAGGGCAGGGTGTTCTGCACACAGGTAGGTGGCAGGTCCCCATGGCTTTCTCAAAGCCCACTGGTGATGTCCTGCTGCAGTTTGCAGGGACATGGCATGTCACAGCCGCTGTTTCCAACTGCTCCGTGTTCCTGAAGATGAAGGACGGGATGAAGTCATTTGTTGCTGCCATCAGCTTCACACCGGAGGGGAACATGGCTATGAAGTTGTTCTGGCCCATGTGAGTGCCCGTTCTTGCCGTGTCTGTCATGGGCCAGGGGACTCCCCCCCCTCACCAGGGTGGTTGGGTGAGAAGCATCCTCGCACAGACCTGCCACCCTGTGGCACCTGGTCCTGCCTGTGTCCTGGTGCATCCCCCAGGCAGGCTGGGCTCCCCCTGCCCTGTCACCCCCCTGCCCTCCCACATGGCATCCAGCCATGCTTACTAATTCCATTTTCTCTTTCCAGGCCGGACACATGCCAAACATTCGAGATGCTCTTCCAGCAAAGAGGACAGGCAGGGCACTACCTGGGTACGTGTGGGCAGGGGGGATCGGAGCCATGGGCACCCTGACATGGAGGGTGGGCATCGCCAGTCCCCTGCGCCCGAGTAGCAGCGGGAGGCGGGTTTGGCCCCATCACTCAGCGAGAGGTTGTGCTGCGGGTGGGCGCTTGGCTCTGCCAGATCGCACAGGGGTTCCCTTCTCATACCCACCTTGGGCAAATCTGGGGCTCAGGCCCTGAGCCGTGAGCCCTGCCAGGGGTCATGGAGGCACCTGGGCTGTGCCACATTGCCTGACCAGGCACCATCTGGGGTCCTTTAGCAGCACAAGAGAAGAGGGACCTGCGTGTGATGGAGACGGACTACAGCAGCTATGCCATTGTGCACCAGCTCCAGCAGAGCGGGCAGAAGCCCAAGACCATGCTGCAACTCCTCAGTGGGTGTCAGGAGTGGGGATGGGTGCTCACAGCTCCCCGGGAAGGCATATGGGCACTGGTGGGGGGTGGGGGGCAGGGGCTGGGGTCCCTACTGCTGCCCAGGGCCACCAACACCAGCACCCAATGTGCTGGCAGCCAGGGAATTGATTTTGGGGTGAATGAAACCTTGCACCAAAAATATTCCCAGTTGATTGTGGCTTGAACTGAAGCCCCCCTGCAGTGTGCCAGTCCAGCTGTGGACGCCCAGCCCCTTCAGCTGCCCCATACCACCGCAGGTGGGTGGGTCACTCATCCCAAGGGGCTTGTGCCCCTTTGCTGCCAGCCTAGGGCAGCCATGGGCTGTCCAGTGTCCACCCTGCACCTCCATAGCTTTGCCTTGCCCTTCCCTGGGGTCCCATTTCTACCCCGTGGGAGCTGGACCCCTGCCATGGGGCTCACTGCTGGGTCCCCCTGCACTCACCAGCCCCCACTTTGGGTGTCTGGCTGCAGCAAGGGAGCAAGACGTGAGCCCCCACCTCCTGCAGAAGTTCAAAGAGCTCATCCCCACCATGGGCCTGACTGAGGACATGCTGGCTGTCCTGCCCAAATCGGGTGAGTGCCAGGAGGGCACGGGGTGGCACGCACGGCCCCTCTGCATGGGGATGCTGCATGGGGGCTCAGGGCACTCCCCGTGGCGTTCTCACCCCTCTCTTTTCTTCTCAACAGATCAGTGCACCAAAGCCATCAGGTGAGTGTGGCCAGGGGAAGCCAGGTCTCCCTCCCGGCATGGCCTGGGCTGAGCAGGGACTCACAGCTCCCCCAGGGAGCCCCTCGCCTGCCTCGGGGCTCTGCATCACATTGGCTTTCCCCTGCTCTAACCACTCATCCTCATCCTCTGTCCTGCCTCCCTGCAGCTGAAGGGGCCAGGGCCAGGGCCATGTGTCCTCCAGGCCTGGGGGAAACTGGGGTCCACTCCCCGCTCTGTGGTCCCCCTTCCCATCCTCCCCAGCCGGGCTCTGCCAAACCCGCTGCCCCGTGTCAGGATCACGCCTCAGCCTCCTAAATAAACAGGTGCAGAAGCTACCCCAGAACTCGGTGCTTTTGTTGGCGGGAGCAGGGGTGCTGCCAGGCTCCCCAGGCACCCTGAGCCCAGCCGTCCTGGATCCGACCCTTCCTCTCAGCACCCAGGGGCATTGGGGGGCTCCTTTGCTGCGTTGTTTACTGCGCCCAGCGTGGGGAGCAGAGGATGGGAAAGGTGCAGTGGGGCAGCCTCTGCGGACATGGGCAGGGGAGAATCAAACTGGGATGAACATGGGTTCGTGGAGCTCGGCTGGGTGGGCAGCAGGTCTGGGCGGGCAGGGTTAAGCGGTCAGACCCCAGCCCTGCCTGTATGCACTCTGGCTCTCAGCAGGCAGCTCATCCCCAGGACACCCCATTCCCTGATGACGTTCCCCCCCTGGGGCCACCCAGGCCAGAGTGGGGCTGTGCCGTGGCTGCCCAGGGTCAATGCACAGCAGGATTGGGACCCCCATGCCCATCTCCCATCCCCTTTGGTGCCCCCATCTGCCCACTGACTAAGGCAGGTCCATGCTACCATGAGCCCCAAGGCCAGCATCCATCCTCCTCCCCCTCTTGCAGAGTAGAGGCAGCCCCTGGTCCCCCCGCTGCCGCCTGTCCCAGAGCAGGGGTCCCTGGGTGCCCAGCCAGGCGCAGAGCTGTGAGAATGCAGCATGGACCCTTTTGTGGCTGTGACCCCAGGAACCCCCAGAGCCAGAGCACAAGGGACATCACACCCTGGGAAGGAGAGGACACACTTCCCCCGTGACACAAACCCCTTCTTCTGCCTGCCCCACTCCAGGGGCATCCCACTTCACAGACCCCAAGTGCCCTGAAGCGGCAGGTCACGACAGCGGCGTGCAGACGCCTGGGTTTGGGCACAACCCCAGCAGCAGCCTGGGAGCAGACGCCAGCCTGGCCAGAGGCACGGGTCACTGAGCCCCTTCATGACGGGTCACTAGGTGAAGTGTTGCCACGGCCCATGCCGGGAAGGACCTCCCAGCTCCTCCTGGCAGCCCTTCGTCAGCTGGCTAGGAAACAAATCTCTCTTTGTTCTTTCACAAGTGACTAAACAAACCGGGAAAATCTTAGATTTCAGCACTGGTGCAACAGTTCCTGCAATGCCACTTCTCAGCCCTTTCCTGGGGCTTGCAGGCACTTCCCTTCTTCCGCAAGACAGGAGGCTGTTTCAAGTGATTTCAGCGCTTCGAAACCACCACCTTGCCCAAGCCGACACCCTGCAGCTTGGCACAGTGCTGGGGTGGGCAGAGGCGGGGAGAGCACCGTGCTATAAAGCCGGCAGCCCTGGTGCTGCTCTCCACCCCGCTGACGAAGCCTGAGGAGACTGCGGCGAGATGAGGACCTTGGGGCTGATCCTGGGGCTGGCCCTGCTCTGCTTGCTGCCCGCAGAGGCTGAGGAGCTTGGGGCTGTGGGGCTGGACGAGAGCAAGGTGATCCACAGCATGCCGGGGAAGGGAAGGTGGGAGCGTGACCTCCAGTCACCAGGGTGGGGACTGGAGAGCTGTTTTCTTACTGGGCACAGCTGGGGACACCACAGCCACAGCTGACTCTGTTGTCACACCTGGGTGAGTGCAGTCACCCAGCTCCAGCATAAGTGTCCCAGTGGAGATTTTGGTGCTGGAGGGGATGCAGGTGCCCCATGGCCTGAGGGTGTCCTGGTTTGGTCCCCAGGGAGGAGACAGCCTGCTCCTCCAGACTGACAGCCTGCCCTCACTTCTAGATTGCAGGGAAATGGTACATCGTTGCTCTGGCCTCTGACTCTGAGAGATTCCTCCAAAGGAAGGACCAGCTGAAGATGGGGATGACCACTGTCACGGTCCTGGGAGATGGCGACCTGAAGGTCTCCTTTGCAGTTCTCACGTAAGTGCCAAGTTTTTTTTTTCTCCATGGGCTTCACTGACCGACCTCCTCCCTAGACCTTCACCAGTGGGTCTCCACCTGGGTTGCCTCCACCCAGCACCCACCAAAGACCTGGCCAAGGGGTGAGGCAGGACCGCCAGCCCTCTGGTTTAAAACAGAGCTTGGGAGAGCTGTATTGTGAGGACCTTCTTCAGGGCAGGCCAGGCAGGCTCGGGGTAGCACTAGCCAGGACTGATCCCACCGCAGAGGCTGACACCCTACTCCTCCCAGCAGGGATGCAGCAGGATGATAAGGGACCCTAAGATTAAAGATTCCCCAGCAGGACCAGCCTCGTCCCAGAAGCTCAGAGCATGGGCAAGGGAATGGCTGTGTGACCCCACAGGATGAACCTTGGGTTCCAGAGCTGCACCATTGCTCCAAAGGTGGCATCTGTCCCCCCCCTGCCCTGGTCACACCATCCTGTCTCTGAACAGCAAGTCCCAGTTTTGGGGTAGTGACCAGCAGGTAGTCAGCATCCCCAGGGGAGGGAAAGGGTGGGTCACTTCACCCCAGCCAGAGCATCCTTCACTGTTTTGCAGCCCGGAGGGATGCATGAAATCAGAGTGGCTCTACAAGCAAACGGGCATCCCAGGGGAATACTACAGTTCTGGTGAGTGAGGGGAGACCAGCCCCCAGGCTGGGGTGGAGGCACTTCCCAACATCCCTGCCTGAAGCAGCTGTTTAGGGACAAACAGGGGTGCCTGCCTGTCTCTCCTGGGGTCCTGGCTGGGACGTCCCTCTGTAGCCGGTTGCCAGCTGCACCCCAGTGCTGCTCCATGCCAGGGCTGGTGTCCCACCAGAGTGGCGAACTCCCCCCGGCTCTCTCCCTCTGGGAAGCTGCTCTGGGATAAGGCATGTTCAGACCAAGCTTAAACCCCGGCAAAAAGCAGGTTCGTTGTGCAAAGGGGCTGTGATGGATGTTCCCGTGGGATGAAGCGAGAGTGGCTTCCCCCCATCCCCAGCCCAAGTGTTAGTCTGACGCTGGCCGGGCTACTCTGCTGTTGGCAGTGACCGACCCTAGACCTCCCTGTGTTGATGTCCCTCTGCTCTGCTGTGGTCTGTGGGCTCCCCCAGGCTTTCAGAGGAGCATCAGCAAGAGGAAAATCCAGGAGCTGGGAGACACAGAAGACAGACGGGCTGGGTGGCTCTGGCCCCTGGCATCCTGATTCAGGCTCTTACAGCCTTTTTGCAGCGGGGGAGTTCTCAGGAGGGAGTAATTAATTTTTCACTTTCCTCCATGTCCTTTTGCAGAAAGAGGCAATAAAACCATGAAGGTGGTGGATACCGATGGCAAGACGTACGCGGTCATTTTTGCCTCCAGGGTGAAGGACGGGAAGACCTTGTACATGCTGAGGCTCTACAGTGCGTAGCTGGGGGTGTCTGACCAGGGTGAACTGCTTGGAGGTGCCGGGGTGCTTCATAGTGTCCCAAGAGGCCAGGAGTCAGGGGGGCCTGCGGGAGAGACCCCATCCTCACCGCTGCCTTCCTGCCCTGGGAGGGGTGTGGGAGCAGGGCTGGGGCAGGGGAGGCTGGGGCTCAGGCTTCTGCACTGTGCTGGGAGGCCATGGCCTGGGGTAAGTCACTTGGTGAAACGGGGTGACAAGCGGGGGTCCTGCTGCAACAGGGGCAGAGGTGGTAGAGATGGGAACCAGGAGAGGAGACACTGTGCTGATGCCAGGACCTCTGCTTCATCTTGTCCCCTGGGAGGGGTGTCTCATGTGCCTGGCCACCACCGCTCCCCAGGACCTCCACCACTGCCTCCAGCCTTGTCCCAGGGACCATCACTCATCCCATCCTCACCTGGGTGCACTCAGCAGCTGCCCAGGAGGCGCAGGGACACGCCACAGCCTGGAGCTAACTTGTGTCTTTGCCTTTAGGCAGAACCCAGGAGGTGAGCCCCAAAATCACAGCGCTGTTCAAGAAGTTTGCGAGGGAGAAGAGCTTCACTGACAGGATGATCAAGATGCTGCCCAGCCAGGGTGAGCACTGCCCAGCACTGTGTCAGGCTGGCTCGGTCAATACAGGGAGCCAGGATGTGCAGCAAGGACCAGCTCGGTGCATCACTGCCACCATTTTGTGGTCTGAGCTGGCAGGAGAAAGTGCTGGTAGCAAGAGGCGCTCCAGCTTGGCATGTCTTGGCTTTCACCTTGCTCAAGTTCATTCCTGGGTTGTCTATTTTGGGTGCTAAACGGGACTAGCCAGACCACAAGCCTGGACTCAGTCTTTCTCTTTGTTTTCACAGAGGAATGCAGCCTCGACGAGTAGGTGAGTTGCTGCAGTGCAACATGGTGTTTGCAATGTCCTCAGCTGGAAATTGCCCCCCTTGGTGCCCCAGCAAGGGCCACCGTGAACTCCTGGAGTTACTCTGGGGGCTGAGTTTTTTGAACCTGTTCTGGAGCTCGCACCCAGGTAGGACTGCTCTCTTTGGGGCTGCTCTGCAGCGGGGACCCCCAGGGTGCAGCTGCCTGGCAGTGAGCAAGGGCACATGAACCAAAACCGCCAGTTGAGTGGAGAAACAGCTGCAGAGCTCCTCCAGCAGTGAGGGCCGGGACACCAGCTCTTACCAAAAGGACCACCTTGGGGTTGTGGACTGGCAAAACCAGCCACAGGTTGGGCTGGTGTCCCACCACAAGATGTGATTTCCCACAATACCCATACACTGGAGTTAGCTAGAAACCCATTGCTGGAGGCAGCTCACCCTACAGAGCTGGGGGAAGCTGGAAGAGAATGCACTGATCCTGATGGAGAGCCCTGCTTGACCCTCCCCATTGGCCTCCTGTCCTGGTTTTGCTGGCAGAGAATCAATTTTCTGTTCAGGAAAGCTTCATTTTTGAGGAGAGTGCAGCACCCAATTTGGTGAGAACAAAGCTGATGAGACACTTTGTTTTAGTTCATGGCCAGCCTGGTATGTGGGTCTCTAATGATCAAGGTCCAGCAGTTTCAAGTTAGCCAGGTGCTAAAGCCAAGAGGAACGAAAGCCAGGGCAGCTGACCCAAGCTGGCCATCAGAAGAATTGTGTACCGTGGATATCATACTCACTGGAAATTGGAGTTTGCTGGGGACAGGTCCTCTTCCTCAATGGTCTCCATATCTGGAGAGTCTTGCCCGTCATTCTGCTCCCGAGGCCTGCTCTCCTGTTTGCTGTAACCATCGTGCTTTTGCTGGAGCTGTGGTGCTCGCAGGGCTTGGCATCCAGCATCCACTGCTGGGCACATGCAGCTCACAACCACTACATGGGCTAAGAATAGCTTTGTGTACTTTATTTTACTATTAGTATTAATAATAGGGGGGGTTAATTATTTTATTAAATCTGTTTCCATTTCAGCTCACAGGAATCCTCTCCTTTTCCTTGTTCCCGTCCTTGGGTGAGGGGATCATTGGGTGATAGAACAACTGACTAAACAAAGACACCTCCTCACCTCCTCACCTCAGCCCACCTCTCCCGGCTGTTTTCTAGGAGGCACAGGCTGGCTGGTGGATGCTCCTGCTGAGTGACACAAGACCCATGCTCTGAAGCCCCACGCTGCTGCACTGCCACCCCTCTTCCAAGCTCAGTGGTCAAGCTCTGACATGTCTCCTGCTTCTCCAGCACACATTCCCTCCTTTTTGCCAAATAAACAGAAACTCACCCTGGAGCTTGGTGTAGCTGTCTGGGAGAACTGGGTACTCGGGCATGGGGTCCCTTTTGTTAATCTCCCGGCAACATCTGCAGATGGTGAACAGCCAGGGGTGTTGCTGGGCTGAGTTCGCCTAAGCAAGGCATTTTTGGAGCCCACTAGGATTTTCCCTCCTGGATGCCTCCCATGGAGCAGGACCATGGCCAGGCAGAGGTGAAACGAGGAGTGTGGAGAGGCTGGAAATCCCGTGGGCACGAGGGGCTGGGTGGAGAAAGGCCGTGGGAATTTGTCACAGAAATTGAGGCTGGAGTTTGGAGGGCTGTAACCACCACCACCATCCAACTCACCTTCCCTCTGCTCGCCCTGCTGCAACTGCAGCCCTCTGCTCCCCTGGAACCCTTCTCATCCACCAGTTCGGGCTGGGCCAAGGCAGCGGCAAGACTCAGCTTTGGGACCTCTCAGTCCCATGGTGCTGCAGGGCTGGTGGAAGGTGGAAAGTGGAAAGTGGGTGAGGGTCTGAATCCTCTGGACCCAAATCCAGAGAGCTGGTGCAGGGCTGAGCATGGTCTCTGCTCCTGGGCACTGTGCAGAAAATGACCCCACTGGAGTCAGATTATCTGCTGGTGTTAGACATCTGCCTCCAGAAAGTACTTTCCTTTGAATTTATATTTCTGAAATCCCACTCCTTCCTTCCCTTCCTGCTCTGTTCATCTCCTCAAATCCACTCAGGAGTAACCAAAACCCACCCAGGGTAACCCATGTCCCCAGAGAAGCCCTGCCACCTCACGCATGGTCATCTCCAGGGCTCAGGTAGGGCTCACAGGCACTGAGATCTGGTGCGGTGTGAAGCAGCTTGTACCTCTCCTGGAAAAGAAATTTCTTCCAAAATCCTCTCTGTTGGCCTTTCCACACTGCCCGCCCCTGGCCAGCCTGGCCAGTCACCTGGGCGTTCATTTCAGCCCAGGTTCTGCCTCGCTGCTGCATGATGGTGACAGGTACCCCTGTAAGGTGTCATCCCAGCTGAGCACCTCGGGATGTTCCCAGGTGCTCCTTCCTCCTCCCACGGTCTGAGAAAATACATGTGGGAAACTGCCCCTCCTGATCATGAGAGCTGGACACCTCCCAGCAGCTGCAGGGCAAGGGACCTCACTGGGTCTTCCCAACCCAGCATCATCTCCACCCTCTTTAAAAGGAGCCCAGCGTCTC